AACCACTTAGACAAAAGGCCCTGAGGAGAAAGGTCCCCTAAATACTTTACCTTGCCTAGGACCTCTGTGGGAGGATATCAGTTTCCTAAAGAGGATTCAGGCCTACTGTCTAAGAGGCCGAGTCCTTAAGCAAGGGGGTTAGGCTCCAGAATCCAAAACAGTGAGTCTCATTTTCTTGAAGAAAGCTCAGGCCCTATGAGGCTGGGGGCGAGTAGCCAAAGGTCTATCACTTAAAAGAAGCTTAAGCTCTTGGAGAAAGATTCAGACTCTTGTCCCCAAGGTAGTCTGAGAGAAAGCATAGACCCTTGTTACTTAAAGAATGAATCTCATGTACCCCAGTATAGTTTTTGGTCTCTGGATATTGGTTTTGGCTCTTGTCCCCAAGGGGAAAGGATCTTACTTCCCCAAGAGAAGCCATATCTCTGAAGGAAAGCTCAGAAGATCCCTCTCTCTAAAGGGGATGTATATGTGTGTTAGGCCCTTAAAGGCAGGCTTAGGATCCCTCAGGAAATCTCAGGCCCCACTGCTGAGGGTCCTGTCCTGTGTCCCCCCGAGAAGGAAGGAGAGGGGGTTGCCCTATACAGTGTCTCAGACCCCTGAAAGGGTTTAAGTATCTTGAGGACACTCAAACATCTTTGAGGTCTCCACCTTACCTGTGTCCCCTGAAGGGGAATTCTCAAGACTCTTATCTCAGAGGGAAAAAAATCTCAAGCCACTGAACACAGATCAAGGTCTGTTGGAGAGTCATAAGACTCCCCTCTCAGAACACATTCCATCCTGCCTGTGTCTCTGCGGGCATTCCTACCTATTGGCCCCAGGGCACAGAAGATGCCACAGACACCATCTTAAAGTCCTCCGTCTTATCTGGGGCTTCTAACCTCAAGTCTTTTGGGGAATATGGGAAGGGAAAGAGGGTGTCTTACTCCCCTACCACCAGAGGAAAAAGTATTAGGCTCCAAGAGAAGACGTTTTAAGTCCCTCGGGTCCCTACCCAATTTGGGGATCCCGTCCACTATCCCCACTCACCTGTCATCCCCAGCCCATACCTGCTCAACAGTGGCAGGGTCCATGGCCTCAATGCGTGCTGCTGCCGCTTCATACTCATCCTCACTGTTGTAACCAGCGCCGACCTCCTCACGTTCCGGACTGCCCCCTCCAACTGAACCAACCCCGGGGGCTTGACGCCGCCGCTTGCTGTGGCCAGGCCCGGAGCAGCAGCTGCCAACGCCCACCGTGCCGCCCACGCCCACCACGACTCCCGCCGCGCCCACACCTGCTGCAGATGCGCCCAGCGCGTCCCCCGGGCCGCTGCCAGGACCGCCCGGGCCCCCACAAGGAGGTGGAGAGCCCTGTTGAGGCCGGGGGCCCGGCACTGCGCCAGGCTGCACAGCCAGCGCCCAGCGGTGAAGTGCACCCGGTGGCCCTGGCAGCGGGCCCTGAGGTGGCGGTGAGGCCCGCTGACGGGCCCCCACAACGCCCGACTCACGGTCGCCGCTGCCTACACCCGTGCCGCCGCCGCCCACGCCCACACCCCCGCCGCGGCGCGGCGCCGGGGGCAGTTGCCCGGGCGGCGGCGGCTCGTTGGCGGGGTCGGCGTCGGGAGGCGGCGGCTTCTTTTTAGGGAGAATAGTCATGGCGGGACACCACGGTAGCCCCCAGCAAACCCGGCGCACGGCACGCTGGGAGAGAACCCGGATGAGGGAATAATGTGGTGCGCGAAGCACGACGGGAATCGAATGGATCCGGATAAAGAGATTGAGGCACCGGCTGGAGAACCGTAGGCGGCGCGCAGGTCACGCGACAGAAGAACCCGGATGTGAAGTCCAAGATGAAGGCAGTGCGGCGAGTGTCGTCGCCTACTCTCCGAGTTCGCCAAGTTGACTGTCACGCTCGTTCCGGCCTTCCGAGTCAAAGGAAACAGAACCAAAACAAGCACCTCTTCGCCCCGCCCCCTGGCAAGTTCTTGAACTACCGGGTGGGGCCCCCAGTCGCGGCGCACGCGCGCCGGAGCACAGCCCCCGTCTCTCGCTCGGAAGTACGTGGGCAAAATCTCCACTGCCGCCACAACAATTGCGGGCACCAACCAATTGAAGCGACTGCGTGGGTCCTCGCTGACGACCAAGGGCCAATCGGAGACGAGCGATCGCCCTCCTGTGAATCTCCGTCTCAGATGTCAAAGTTGGCACCCTGGTTCCTGGCCTTTTTTCTCTTCCGCGACGTCCTGCTCTTACTTCTGTCCCTGAGGCTTCGACTCCCAGGCAGAGGTACTGTGACAGGACAGCCCGGCCTTTCCCGTATACGACAGGTTTAAAAGCACATCCCTTCCAGGCTTCCAACTTGACCGCTCTCCGTCAGACTGACAGGAAAATATCAATACTCCCAGAGCAGAGCAATCCCCTGAAGCGTCAGTTCCGGTTCCACCCACCTGCAAATCCACACCAATCGAGAGGCGGGTGCCGCTTCACTCAGACTACAGGCTGAGTGCTGCGGTGATTGGTTAAGAGACGCAGTCATTTGCGTCAGACAAGCCAACCTTGTGATAGGCATACACCGAGGGAACAGTAGGTGTTTGGGAAACAGACACGCCCTCTTTGGCACCACCACACTTTCGCCCCCGTGTTGACCTCCCCGCCCCTGTGGCTGGTGCGCAGGCGCAACACAGATGTCTTTTTCGTGTGTGAAACTGAGTTTACCTGGATCGAACAGAATTTTATGTATTCATCTCTATCACCAGCCAGCGTCTCACAATGGGGTTGGTAAAACTCTCTGCTACTGAGCGGCTGGATAGTTACAAGCTAATCCTAGTTCTCTCCTCCTGTCTGAATGATCTCTGGCAAGCCATTTAACATCCACCCCATCTTCAATTTCTACTTCTCTGTAACATGGAAATGATAATTCCAATTTAAGGATCAGAGATCCGTGCTTGTAAAGGGCCTGGTAATGTTCCTGGCACATAGTAAGTGCTCAATAAATTAGTCGGCATGACAGTGGACTGAGAGAATCCCAGGCTTTGGAGTCAGGAAGACCTCAGTTACCAATTGCAGGACTTTGAGCAAATCATTGTGTCCCAAATTTGGGGCTACTCATGTGTGAAACGGGAATGGTAATGCCTGCCCAGACTACCTCGAGGAGCAGTTAGAAGGTTCCTATGAGTTCATGAGCCCAGAACCTGTTATAGGAGGTAAGGGCTTGATCCCTATGTGTTAGGAGCCAAGCCATACAACAGGTTGACTGGAAGACCATCAAAAAGCTCTTCTGAGTGCCACCTAACCTTCTCCCATCAGATGGCAACCCTAATTGAAGTCTTCTCTGAAGGGTATCAGTAATAAATACACTATTGTGCTTTTTGTCAATGAGACTTAATGAGAAGACCCATGTTTACTGGGCCTATTGTGTTCAGGGCACTGTACCCAATGCCTGTGCATGTTATCACACTGAATCTTCTCATGACCATCTCACTTGACCCATGTATCCTACTGTCTACTGGATATTTGTCCAGTACCACAAATCTAAAACGGAACTTATGATAATAATTGTAGCTAGTCATCACCAAGTATTTACTATGTGCCTGCCACTGTGTGCTAACAGCTTTGATGTTCTCTTTCACAGTAGATGGCACCCCCCCCCCAACCTTTGCCCAAACCAGAAACCTAGGAGTCAGCCTTGCCTCTTCCTCAGTTCCCAGATGCCCATCAATCCCAAGCCCTGCCAATTCTACCTCTTAAGTCTTTTGACTCTCCAAACTCTTACTGTCAGTACTTGGTCCAAGCCACCATCACCCAACAGTTAGACCACTGCAAAAGCCTCCTCACTGCTCTTCCTCCAGGACTGTTTTCTCTGGAATCCACTATCCACAACCAGAATGATCATTCTGAAACACAAACCTCATGATGACTTTCCTGTTTAATAAGCCTTTAGAGGCCCCCATTATCTTTAAGATAAAGTCCAAAATCTGTATCCTAGCTTCAAAGGCCTTTTGTGATCTAGCTTATCACTACATCCTCTTCCCTCATCATAGCCTCACATCCTCCTTCCCAGCTCTACTCAATTAATTTCAGTTCCCCAAAGACCCCAGGGTCCATCTCTAACCTCCAGGACTTTGCACGTGCTGTTCCCTCTACCTGAAACATTCTTACCCTTTTGTCTTTTGCGTGGTTAACTGCATTTCATTCTTCATGCATTAGCCAGGTTAGTTTCTCCTGCCATCTACATTCTTCTGTAATCTATTGATCTTAGTTCTCCTGCACTATATTGTAACTGCTTAGTTGCCTTCCATGCTCACCTCTGTAGAACAGAGATGATGTCTAATTGGCTCATGTCTGTATCCCCAAGCTTGGGGAAACAGGGCTAGCACATGATATCCAGTTAATAAATATTTGGTGAATAAAAGAACAATTGTCTCTGTTTCACAGATTAGCAGCCTAGGACAAGAGAAGGTAAGTAATTTTCTCCGCCGGCATTAGAACCCAGGTGGACAAGAATCCAAGGTCTGTCATCTCAGTACCCCACAGAGCTTAGTCACACACTGCCCAGGAGCCCAGAAGAGAAAATGTAGGGAACATCCACAAGGAAGGGGGTTTTGCCGCACTGGAAGATGCTCTTCATCAGGGTTCAATTCAGAGCCATTTGCTGTCAGGAAACCTGTGTTTAAGTCTCCCCCTAACCAAGCATGTGCTGTCTGGGCCTCAGTTTTCCCATATGTGAGTTGGGGAGCTGGAGCAGGTGATGTCCAAGGCGGGCATGTCTCAGGACCTCCTAGCCTGCCTCACACTGGTTGGAGAGTCAACTCTTCAACCACCCCCTTTTTAAATTTCTCCTAGATCTGCACATTCCAGAACATTTCACCAACCATCTACCTTCCATACCTTTACCCACACCAGCTCTTCTACTAGTTGAAAGGAATTTATATCAGAGTACTACTTTCAACTCCCCAGCCCAACCCAGCCCCCAAATCTACAGAGCCAGGAGGTGCTCATCCTCATCTCTCCTCTCAGGTTTTATTGACTGATGGAAACTACATCTTTGTCAGCCACCAGTTCCACAGGGACAGTGCTGGGGACAGGGAACCTGAGATGATGCCAGATATCAGCCTGAGTGCAAAAACAGAGTTCCAGAAGGTGACCCAAGAAGGAGAAGAGAGAGGAATACAGGAACAGATGTTGTGGGGGAGGAGAAGATAAAGAAGTTTTTCCTGCCTCCTACAACTCCCAGAGTTCAATAACAACGCAGGCCTCAGCCCCTGAGGCTTCTGGACTCCTGCCCAAGAACAGGGAATCAGCTCGTGATCTCCAAACCCAGCCCAGCCCTTGCTGGTTGCCAGGTGCTTATCTCAGTCAGTCCAGACTCCAGCCCAACCCAGGAAGGAAGCACACCAGAGGAGAGAGGAGGAGTATTAGAGGTGGCCCCTGTGATTAGGGCAGATGTAAATGCTGCAGCAAACTGGGCAGAGGCTTTGCATAATGTCATGGCAGCAGATGCTATTGCTAGAGTTTGCTGGGGGCCCAGTAGAGGATGGGGTTGCGAGGACCCATTCCCAGCAGCTAGGGAAGAGGGGTAATGTTTGTGCTATTTGTGTGTGTTGGGAGAGGCAGCCTCACTCTTGAGCCACAGCCTGGGGGTGGAAGGTCACTGCTGAGGCCACAGCCCTTGAAGCCTGTGGCAGCATTCCAAGCTTGGAATTTGGGCGCTGTTGGCCTGGTGAAGGGTGGGGACCTCTCTGAGGGGCCAGATCAGAGGTAATGGTTCTAATCCTTGAACCCCCAAACCTCCACAGTCCTGATAAAGAGAAGAGGAAGTCTCACCTCTTCTTCTCAGGCCAGAGCTCAGATGTCAGGTGGGAGCCTGGGAGCCTGAGGGCCCAAGGGAAGGAGCATGCAGGAGGCCAACTCAGGGAGAGGGTCTGGTCCCACTATGCTGAGGCAAGGAGGCCAGGGCCTGAGGAAGCTCAATGATTCAGCTCCCACCAGGAAAATGGGTGTGGGGAATGTCCCATTCCCTGACTATATCCCCACAAAGTAGGCTATTCCATGAAACTCCATTGCATAGTTCTCAGTTGGGGGAAGACGAGGTCCCCAAGCCTGCCCCTGTCTGTCTCCCCAAAATATGGCTTTGGAAAGGAGTCCCCAAGAATCAAGAGGGCCCTCTGGATGGGCAGGCCCACCCCTCACAAGGAAGAGATCTTGACAGTCTCAGGGAGGAGGCAAGGGGTACCCAGGCTGGAGTTCCTAAGGTTGCTGCTGGCCCCACCACCACCACCACCACCAGGAGAAGAAGGTTGGCTCTCATCTGGAGTGTTGGCAGGAGGGGTAGGGATACTGATGATGGCAGCCACGAAGTCCCGACTGTCGCAGTTCAAGTCAATGCTGTCATGGGGCTTGGCATTGAGGCTTGAGCGGCTGTGGATAATAAGGGTGGGAAGATGGAAGGTTCTTAAAAAGTCATGTTAATACTGGCCACAGCAATCATGACATTTATTGAGCATCTACGAGATCCCTGGCACTGTGGTAAATGGTTCCCCTGTACCCCCAATTATGGTAGTGCAGAGCAAGGGCTCTGAAGTCAGGCAATCCTGGGTTTGAATCCTGCTCCCACTTTTACCACTCAAAACATCTCTTTTCTCTCATCAGAAGCATGGGAATAACAAATTAAGTCCTCACTTAACATCGTCAATAGGTTCTATGACTTTAAGTGAAATGATGTGCAACAAAAAAAATTTTACCACAGGCTAATTGATAAAAACAAGAGTTAAGTTCCTAGGCACCTCATCAATGTTCTAACAAAATGACATTGGGAATATTACTTGGCTGTAAAAAAAAAAAAAAGGAATTCTTACCATTTGAGACAGCATAGATGGACCTAGAGGGTATTATGCTAAGTGAAATAAATCAGTCAGAGAAAGACAAATACCATATGATGTTCACTTATATGTGGAATCTAAAGAATAATGTAAATGAACAAACAAAACAGAAACAGACTCATAGATACAGAGACCAGACTGTTGGTTGCCAGAAGGGAAGGACTGGATGAAAAGGTAAAGGGATTGGGAAGTACAGATTGGTAGTTACACAATAGTCATGGGGATGTGAAGTACAGCACAGGAAATATACTCAATAATCTTGTAATAACTATGTGTGGTGACAGGCATGTACTGCAAATATCAGGGGAGCACTTTGTAAAGTATATGATTGTCTAACCACTATGCTGTACACCTGAAACTACTACAAAATAATATTGAATGTAAACTTTAGGTTAAAAGAACAAAAAGGAAAACACAAAACAACATTGAACAAAATAATGTTGTCGAAGAACCTGCTGTATTTCCTACCTCACAGTGTTCATGTGGAGATTAAATGAGATAATAAATGATGCAAAGTGCTCAGAATAGTACCTGAAACATAATGAGCATGCACACACACACACACAAGATGTTACCTGTTATGATTGCTCCTTACAATGTCTAAATCCTCATAATAGTCTACAGTAAGTGCTACATAATCTGGTCCTTGTTCCTTTTTTATTTTACCTCCTACCACTCTCCCCCTCACTTACACCACTTTACTCACCGTAGTTCCTGGCAGTGTCTCTTGTTAGAGACACACAGACCCATTCCTGCCTCAGGATATTTGCAAAGGTTGTTTACTCTGCCTGGAAATCTCTTCCTCTAGATATCTACATGGCTCACTCCCTCACGTCCTTCAGGTCTTGGCTCAGATGTCACCTCAGCAAAGCCTTCCCTGACCAAATAATTAAAATTACATCACACCCTATTCTACACTCTCTATCCCCATCCCTGATTTATTTTTCTCTTTGGCACTTAACACTCTACATCATCTGTATAATTGTTTGTTTATTAACAGTCGCATCCCACTAGAATATAAGTTCCAGAAGGTTAGGGATTTCTGCTTGTTCTATTCACTGCCTAAAGTAAATTCCTAAACTCCTAAAGTCAACTCCAAAGTGGCTAAAATTGTGCCTAGCATATAGTAGGTGCTCAATAAATGGTTGTTGAAAGAACAAATGAAGAACAAGAAGCTCCAGACAAGATAAGCTCAAGATTCCAGCATGGAGGAATTTAGGTTTGAGCTTGACCTGCTAGGCCTGGGGTCGTGAAATCTCAGACCCTCTGGTCCAAGCTCTGAGCTTCTTCAGGTGTAGCCAACTGGTGGGGGTTACTTACCTCTGAGAGGCAGGACTCCTCCGCAGCCCTGCCAGAGTGTCCAACTCCTGCATGCTGCCACGGCTTACCGAGGCAGTGGAGTTGGCAAGGCGAATGGCACGGCGCTTTGCCCTGCGGGGGCAGCAAGAGGATAGCAGGCTTCCAGGACCTACAGGCTGGGAGGACACAGAGGTGCTGCGGCTGGTACAGCCACCCAGTGAGACGGCACCCAGGGCTTCATTGAAGGTTAACTCGTCTGTGAACTCATGACACTGTGGGAAAAAGGGAGGCACGGTCACAAGGCACCACACAGGTTGTCCCCACTGCCAGGCCTTTGCTTAGGCCTTCCTTTCTGCAAATCACTCTCTCTTCCCTTCCCTTGCCCATCCTTCAAGGCTCAGCTCTATCAGGCCTCTTCCAGGAAGCCCTGCATGATTTCCACAACTAGTAGTGACCCTCCAATCCCAGGGGGAGAGCTGGCTTGGTGGCAGAGATCCCCTTCATTCTGCTATGCCACTTCTCTTTAGGCCTCACCGTTGTCTTCTCTAGACAATGCAGCAAGTGGTGATGTTGTTGTTCAAAAGCAGAACGGTTCCTGACACACACTGCCTGTTCCTCCCCACTGCCATTGTCCTGGAGGGGATGGAGCAGAGAAATGAGGTCAGCACCTTCCTCCTCCCATCACTGCTCACACCCAACCCCAGTCTGAGACCTACCCACCTCAAGGCCCCCGTTCTGCTTGTACTGCAGGAAGGCGTTGGTGGTACCACTCTTTGCCAACCGGATCCTTGCTGAACGCACCTTCTACAGAGAGGAGAGAAAGAGTCAGGTGTGTAAACACAACAAGTGACTGACTGGCTTGGGGTCAGGGGGAATAGGAGATACTCAGATGGAAGGCACAGCTACCTGCTGTGCTCGGCGCTTGTCAGCACGCTGGTTCTGGTGGTAGATGCGGCTGAAGTTGGAAACAATGACTGGCACAGGCAGGGCAATGACCAAGACACCACTGAGTGAGCAGATGGATCCGAAAATCTTGCCAGCAATGGTGCTGGGCACCATGTCTCCATATCTGGGGCCAGAGGAGGTGAGCCAAGGTCAAGAAAAGTATCTACCCACTCCTCAGTCCCCCGCTTCATCCCATCCAACCCAACTCACTCTGAGACCATGGCCAGGCACTTGAACTCTCTGAGCCTCAGTTTCTTGCTCTACAAAATGTGAGGGATGACCTTTTGGGCCACTAGTGGGGGTCAAATGAGAAATGAGCTCTCAGCCCCTACTATCTGTTGTCTCCATCTAAACTGAGCTGTGCACTGGGCCTCTGACCCAGCTGGAAATCTATCAATACCTATCATAGGGGAGAAGGAAGAAATCACAGACAGTGAACATAGTCTTCTGGGGAGTGAGTTCTACCACCAAAGACCAGCTGAGGGGCTCTGAGTCCTGGCAGCAGTGCTCTGTTGGTTTTGTTTGCATCTGTTTTACCTTCTCTATGTAGGACCCCTTCCTATTCCCCCAGAGGAAACCTTGAAACAGTCCTCATATGAAAAAATGGGGGGGGGGCTTAAAATTGCCCCCTTCCTTTCTCCATGCCACCCCTCCTCCCATGGAGATAGAGCAGAGCCAATCTTGCCACCTTGTTTCACAGAGGGGGTAAAAGCCAAAGTCAGGGAGTTGCCATAACTGACTTGCTCAAGATCACATAGCATACTTTTATCCTAACCACAGGACCAATCAGATCCCCTCCACAAAAGTGCAGCCTCTGCAGCCTTACGCCTCTAGGCCTTTGTTCAAACTATGCCCACCCAGCCCCGTGGCTCTTCTGTATTTCTTTATTTTGTTCATGTCTTTATTTTTTTAGACTTATTTAAAAGTTTCTCCAACTTGGCCATTTCTGGCTCTGTAATGTGTCATCTCAGACTGTGTTCTTAACTAGAAGACATGAGCAGCTGCCCAGCCTCCAAAGGTTATTGTGAAGACTGAATAGGGTAAAAGGCATCAAATTATCCTATTCCAATCCATTCTCAAGGCTCAGTGTTCATTTGTCAATGTAATCCTGAACTTCCAACCAGAATTAATTTCTACTCCTTAGAAACCTCAAATGAATTTTTCTGTACTTCTATTAAAGCACTGAGTGAGCCCAATTCATCCACTCGACAGATACTGAGCAGCAACTGTATACCTAATCCCGGTGATGGAAATAAGAAAAGGCTCACAGTCTCTGCCCTAGACAGTGTCTTTAAGAGCAACATGAGTTTGGTGGTCCATTTGATGTTTTTATCCCAACCATTTCCTCTCCAGGACTGGCAGTCAAAAAAATCATGCTAAAACTACCTTGGTCTGGGGAGCCACAGGGGTAGTGCCCCGCAGAGCAGATGATTCTGGAGGGTTGAGAGCTGTGGGTGCTCAAGATGGAAAAAGGAGTGGTAGAAAAGCAATACCTATTTATCTTGCATGAGAAACTTCCAGAGAACTTTCACAACTGTCAGAACTGTCCAACTGTCACTGAAGCTCCTATAAAGGGATCATCATTTGTCATTTTACAGAGGAGAAAACAGGCCCAGAGACCACAAGGCCAACAGGAAGAGTACAGCTAAGACAATGCTTGAACCCAAGTCTCTTGATGTGGAAAATCAAGGCATTGTCAAAGCTGGATGGAATTTGAAGATTAGTCCAAGTTCTTCAGTTTTTACAGATGAGCAAACTGAAGCTGAAATAGAGAGAGATTATTTACCTAACCTTCTTTTACAAAAGTGGTGAATGTAATTGCCTGATAGGGCAGTTCCTAATATAGGGTCTGCACTCACCCAAGTGTGGTCATGGTGACAATGGTATACCAGAAGGCTGCGGGGATGCTAGTAAAGTTGGTCTTGTTTGTGCCCTTCTCAGCATAAAACATGACAGTGGCAAAGATGATGATGGCCATGGTAAGGGAAAAGAGGAGAAAGCCCAGCTCAGAGGCGCAGCTCTTGAGTGTGTAGCCCAGAATTCGCAAGCCCTGTGAGTGCCGGGAGAACTTGAAGATGCGGAACACCCGGAACACACGAAGGGTGACAAAGGCGCCAGAGACATCCTCGTTCTTGGGCACAAAGAGCCCGATGTAGTATGGCAGGATGGCCACCACATCAATGAGGCTCATTACACTCCGCAGGAAGCGGCAGCGGCTGGGGGCAGCAAACAGCCGCAGGAGATATTCACCCGTGAATATGAGCACACAGGCCGTGTCCATGCAGAAAAAGGCCAGTGGGAAGCGTTCGCCACAGGGCTGCTCCCTCGAAGGCCGTCGCGCGGGGCTGCGGCACGGGATGGTCTCGACCACGTTGGCGATGACTGACACGGCGATGAAAAAGCCGGTCACGTAGTAGAAGACGAGGGCTGCAGTGCTCGTATGTGGGTTCTCGAAGGCCCGCCAAAGCCTCTGGCGAAGGGAGCTGCCAGCCCGCAAGGCTGGCCCGTCCGCGGCCTGCTCAGCTTCCTCATCTTCCGCCAGGCGCTCTGCATTCTCCTTCTTGCGGTCCCGGTACTCTTCCAGGCAGCAGTCACCAACAAGCTCAGGTACCAGGCCATAAAAGGCCAGTTCTTCATCGAAGGCCTGGATGCACTCCTGCCGCGGGCAGTGCAGACGGCCAGTGCGGTAGAAGTTCAGCACATGTCGGAACATGTCCGGGTCGCGATCGAAGAAGTACTCGCCAGAATCAGCATTGTAGAAGAATTCCTTCTCTGAACTGCCCAGTAGGGTGTCTGGGTAGCGGTCCAGTGTGTTCTTCCAGGTCTCAAAGCGCCTTCCGCTCACGTTCACCACCAGAACCTCATCTCCTCGACATGCCTTCACCCCTGGTGCTGGGGGCAGCGGCTGCTGGGCCAGGGGCAGCCAGCCCACTGCAGCAGCCCGTGCAAAAGGCAGCCACGTGGCCACGCCTGCCGCCATCTTGCCGCTTACCCCAGGCCCTCCGAGACTTGGGGGCGGTGGCCTTTAGGAGAATGTGGCTGTCTCCAGGATGATGGGGGCTTGGAGGGGACCTGGGGCACTCGCACAAGGAAACTGGGGATGTCTAGAGATGCCAAGAGGAACCTGGAGGAGGAACTAGAGACAGGGGCAGGAGCTTGGGGGCCATTTACAGGGTCTGGGAGGGACCTGGGGGATATCTTGAGGGACTGAAAAGGGGGTAGGGGATATGGAAAGGAGCAGAGAAGGGGTGTCTAGAGGGGATAGAGAAGGACCTGAGGGAGCATTTAGAGAGACTGATATGGATCTACATGTGCCTGAGAGATGTCTGGGAGTATCTAGTGGGAGCAAGAAACACTAGGGAGCTGTCCACATTCTCAGGAGTTCTGAGGAAAGGAAGAAGGGACTAGAACTACTTATCGGAGTTGGAGAGAGGATTGGGGCATCCAGAAGGGTAGAAATGGGACCAGAAGGGTAGAGGTATTTGAAAGAGGCTGAAAGTGTCTGGACAAGGGTTTTAGCGGGGGGAATGAGAAAGGTGAGGAAGGTGGTCCACACTCTGAAGACCTCTGGGGAAAGATAAGGATGTTGGAGACCCTTCTTGAACCTAGGAAAAGGGTTAATACATCTAATGATGGTCTACAGAGCCAAGAGGTTGTAAAGAGGCTAAGAGGTGTCTTGGGAGTGCCTAGAGCTGCCAAGAATAGCCTGGGGGATGTCTACATTTTAAAGTACTTCTGGAGAATGAAGGAGAGGTGGGGTCCCTAGTGCGTCTAGAGAAAGGAGTGGGGTATCTGATATAGTACATAAGGGGTTAGGTTATTTTTTCAGAGGCTAAGAGGTGTCAGGGAGAGAGGGGTACCTAAGGGTTTGAGAAAGTGTGCTCTATCCTCATAAGAGTTCCAGGGACAGAAAAGGGGCTTGGGGAATCCTGTGGGACTGGAGCTCAATTGGAAGGAAGTTACACACAGACCCAGAGCACCCAGAGGATCGAAAAAGACTAAGAGGAAGAGGGGGTGTTCCCCAAAATGGTTCAGAGGTCGGAGTGGGATGTTGTAAGGGAGTTGGGTGTGTCTCCAGGAAGCGGAGCTGCTGGGCCTTGCAGGAGGCTCAGGAGGGAGGCCAAGATAAGACTGCATCCCACTCTTGGGGGCTGGTCTGGGAAACCACACCCCAGGGGGCTGATGGTGTTCGCTGGGCAGCAGCAGTAGCAGCAGCAGCAGTTGGAGGAAGAAGAGGAGAAGCAGCCACAGCCAGGCCAGGGAGTGAAGGCAGCATAGACAGGGGAGGGGGCTGGGTCCCTGGAAGGACGAGGTCCAGCAGGACCCCCCGGGGACTGTCCCAGGATGGGCAAGGGCGTGCGGACTGGACCAGGGAAGGGCAAGGACGCTGTTGGTGGCCCCCTCCCACTCCCCACAGGGCCAACCTCACCTGTGTCCCCACTGCAGCAGCGGCAACAGCGTAGGGGCTGGGGGTACCAAACACCGGAGCTCCTGCCCCCCTCTGCAGAGCTGCCCAATCTCTCCTCCTCCTCTGGCTCTCTCCCCGCCCCTCTGAGCTAGCCGGAAGATGGAGAGGCAGGGAGGGGCCTCTTGGCTCCCAGGGCCCCTTCCCCTAGGACTGCTTGAGAGGGACCCTGGGGAGACTCCGCCTCCTACAAAGCTGGTTGGGCCTCAGTCGCGTCATCTGGAAAATGGGGGTGGTGGGGAGCTGTGCCAGTTCTTCCCACCTCCTTCCTGGACTCACCCCTCTTCCTGTTCAGCTCCTACCCCCCTGCCCCTTGGGTCCCCCACCCCCACCGTCTGAATCAGCAGCACTTAGCAGATGCGATCGATGAAGAGGCGTCTATTTAATGGCCCTAGAGTGGAGTGCCACAGGGAATGATGCAGCGCTGTGTCCCCTCCCTGCCCCCCGGCAAGGCTGGAGAAGAGGTGGATGAAGGGGTACTGGTGAGGAACATTTCGGTAGATGGCCAGGCCCCCAAAGCTGCTGGGGGGCACAGATTAAAGCCCAGCTCTAACCAGGACTGCTGGGACTGAAGTACGATCTTCCTGTTTTCAAATGTGAAATGGGGGGTGAGAGTGCAGCTGGGGACAAGCGAGATCCTACCCCCATACCAGGTTCTTTCCCAGACAGGCCCCGCTCTGAGGGGCAGTCTCCTTCATCTGTTCACATTCTGGAGCCTCATATCATGTTCTCCCCTAGAGAGCTCTGCTCCTGTGGCAAGAGCACTAGGTACCAAGTGCCTCTGGTGCGGATGGGTTCAAACCCCAGCTTTGCTGACTTGCTGTGTCCTTGAGCAAGTGACTTGCATTGTTTCCTCATTTGTCAGATGGAGAGTTACCCCAACTTGATGGTGTCACTGGGAGCATTACATGGAGTGATGTGAAAGGAGATGCACAGGGCATGGCTCAGAGGACTCCTTTTTAGTAATTAAGGCTGTGTGGTGCTGGAGAGCAGTATTGCAGGGCCAATTATAGCCTTTCAATCAATTTATCTCCATGTAACCCTCCATTTGCAAACTCATCACACTCCTGATTTGCCCATTTCTCCATCCTTTCACCCACCCACTCACTCATCCATTTGTATATTTACCCCATCTACCAAACTATTCACCAGCCTATCCATATGTAACTCCCTCTGTCTGTCCATCCATAGCCCTTGCCCATCATTTATCCACCTTTTTCTTCTTTCATTAGCTCATCCATCTGCCCACTCATCCATCCACATTCCCCTAGTCATTCATCTGTCCACCTACATTTGCACCTGTCAATCCTACCTATCCACCTACCAACCCGCCTATCCATTTATTCATCCCATCACCTATCCATCCGTCCATTTATTTCCTAATCTATCCATCATTGATCCATGCAACCTTCTATTTATTTATCCATTAGTCCATCCAAACACTTACCCACCCTTCCATCTGTCCACTCATCCATACCCACACCGCATACACATCGACCCACACATATATCTGCAGATATTTCTGCTCCACTCAGTTTGAGGGGCTAGTCAACAGCCACTGAAGACAGGCTGGGTGAAGCTGGGTGAAGGAGAGTAAAGCTGTGGCCAGAGGCCTCCCTTCCCATTCCAATGGTATGACCTCACCACCCCCAGTACATCCCTACTAGCTGGAAAGAATGAGGGCAGACAGTCAGTGGGTGGGCCCACCTGGCCAGATGATATTTTGGCTGCACAGCCTTTACACACACACACATTGCTAGAATGCTGAACACAGACCACACCCCACCCAATATCCCCAACCCCAAATGCAGAGTAGCCAGGCTTCCAGACATAAATTAAAAATAAAATAAAATTAAAAAGAGTTGGTCTCTGGGAAGGAGAGCTCATGCAGAGATGAAGGCAACTGCCCCTGGGAATCAGGGCCAAGGAGGACCAGAAATCCCTGCCCTTCCCCTCAGGGTCTTCACTCCCCAGGGACCACTGCCCTAAGATAGGGTCACTAACAACCAGCCATCAGGCTTCCAACCCCTTTAATGTCCAGTCTCCCAACTTATTTGATTTTGATGCTGGCCCCCATTTCCCCACTTCAGCCCAAGGGAATGGTGTTGTAGGGGTGGGTTGAGGAGGAACTGGGGCAGCCTGCAGGTCTTTAGCTGGCTTCTCCTGGTTGTGGGTCTGGGTCAGAGGACCCCACACACTCCTTGCTGAGCCGCACAATTTCCTGGGACAGAACTTCCATGTCCTAAGAAACAAATAAATCAGAGGCCAGAGAAGGTAGAAGGGGAAGCTCCCTGACCAAGCCTGGGGTGTCCTTACTTCATTAATCAATTCCCAACTAAATCTAGCCTGGGACAGGAAGATGTTTAGAGAAGTTCACAAAGCCCCCAGCAGTGAGCTGGGCTCAGGAAAGGTGTATGTATGAGGGTATGGGAGCCTCTGGAGCTAGGGATATGGATATGGGAGTGGATTGCCTGCTATGCATGGTGCACACTGGAGGATATGACCCCCTACCACCCCGGTCACCTTCTTTTTAGTAAATGGTGAGTTTGCTTCTCAGAAGCAGGAGCCAGGTCTGTATTCCTTCTAACTCCTTCAGAAACGGGGGAAATATTTGAGTGCCAGGATGGACAAGTGGACATGTGGGTAGACACATGGGGGATCCATGGTAGGCAAACAGGTGGACAAATGAACTGTTCAGAGGACAGATGAAGGGCAACAGGTAGGCAGGTTGCTAGGTGGGTGGGTAAAAGCTAGGACAAGGAGTGTGACTGATGAGTAGGTTTTAAGAAAGAGCAGTAGGTCAGGAAATGGGTGGAAAGACATGGGGCAGATGGACAAATAGTACAGTGGGTCAATAGAAGAGTTGGGTGACTGTATGTATGAATGGATGAGTGGATGGATGCAAGGACAAAGGGAAAAGTGAACCAAACTAACAACAGTAACTCAACTGAAGGATGAGAAGATGAGAATGAAGGAATGATTGGCAAATGAGGTGGGTAGATGGGGGAGACTGGCAGATGACCTAGGGCCTGTGTGGTGACTGGGGAGTTGGGTGGCTGCATGGACAGATGGGCATACTGGTAGGCTACTTGCCTTATGCAGGTGCATATTCTTGGTGAGCTGCTCCTCCAGCATGTTTTGCAGCTTCTTGTTCATCTCCCGAAGGTTCTCATCTCCTGGCTTCACTAGGTCTCTCAGGACACTGCCCAGCCCACTGCGGTCTGTGTGGCCTGCTGCCACGGACACATCTGCAAGGGCCCAGGCTGAGAGCTACCCCCTCAGCAGAATCAGAGGAGAAATAGCCAGAGACAGCAGAAAAGAAGGAAACAGAGAGTGGAGGAGAAAAGTGGGGGACGGGCCATTTCATGTAAGGGGTAGAGACTTAGCCATGTGAACCCTGGTTGTTACTTGTTAGCTGTGGAGCCCTGAGAAATGGGGATAACTAACTCATGGAGCTGGAAAAATGTATATGACTGCATGTGAAGAATAGCGCACAGTCAGGTCTCAGCGCATGTCAGTTGGTATTATTCTGATCCATAGGGGAAAAAAGGGAGAGAAGGAGGTTTGAAAGAATGGAGCAAAAGAAACAAAGATGGGGAGGGGGGAAGGAAGAGAAGAGAGGAAGAGGAGAGAGGAGGGAGAAAAGTGAGGAAAAGATAAGGACCCCAAAGGTATACACACACAGAGAAAGAAAATTTCTGAAAAAAATTTTAAAAAAAGAA